GGCTCATTTTGGCACAAGTTTATTTATTGTTACCGTTTTGAATGACATTTGATATGTTGACATTTCTACATTGACTGTTATCAGCTATTATACACTGTCCTACTATGACCGGAAACGTTGTTACTATAATATGTTGCTGGGAAAGTGGTACAGATGGCCTGGTCGTCTAAGCACGCGCAATTCGGTTTGTTCTGTCCCCTAGCCATGCTTGATCTTAGGAAGTGAGTTCGAACCCGACTTCTTACTGATTGTTTCCAGGTTCGGCAGCACCAAAGTGGTAAACGTCATTCACTGGGAAATAGTTAAAGATAAAAACTACGCTCAAAGTACGGGTATAGTGGTTATAATTAGCACAGTGCAGTTTTAAAAGAGTCCTATAGTTTAGGAGACCGAACTGAGTATATATATAAATCACCAGATCAAGACGAATTTATGAACGCATCACTACGTCACACAACCACGTCACTGCGTCACACCACCACGTCACGCAGTGATGTGACGCAGTGACGTGCTGTTGGTGTGACGCAGTGACGTTGTGGTGTGAGGTTGTGGTGTGACAACGTCAATGTGTCACACCACCACGTCACTGCGTCACACACCACGTCACAACGTCAATGCGTTACACCACGTCACTGCATCACACCACCGCGTCACTGCGTCACACCACCACGTCACTGCATCACACCACCACGTCAATGTGTCACACCACCACGTCACTGCGTCACACCACCACGTCACAACGTCAATGCGTTACACCACGTCACTGCATCACACCACCACGCCACTGCGTCACACCACCACACGCATCACACCACACGTCACTGCGTCACCACCACCACACCACTGCGTCACTGCATCACACCACCACGTCACTGCATCACACCACCACGTCACTGCGTCACACCACCACGTCACTGCGTCACACCACCACGTCACTGCGTCACACCACAAAGTCACAACGTCAATGCGTTACACCACGTCACTGCGTCACACCACCATGTCACTTCGTCACACCACCACAAAGTCGTCACACCACCACGTCACTTCGTAACACCACCACGTCACACCACGTGCGTCACACCACCACGTCACTGCGTCACACCACCATGTCACTTCGTCACACCACCAAGTCACAACGTCAGTGCGTCACACCACAACAACGTCACAGCGCTATGCAAAACTCCGGACACAAACCCTTGAGTCTGCTTCCAAACGGTTGACAATCAATACCACGAGTGTCGTCACGTCAGTCACACCTCCCGCACATCACAACGTTGACTGCTACATGAAGTACCCTCATATCTATACCTCGTATCGATACGTGTTGAACAGGTATGTCCGACAACAACTTCAGTGCCTCAAGACACATCACCCGGCAGCTATTTACAGCGATATTGATGAAGTATATATTGAAAACTTCCCGACATAGCCTGTAACCATGAACATTCGTGTCTACACAACAAGTCACGGCTGTCTTTTGTGCGTTCTTGACTGGGTTCACGACCGTGCAGCTGCCTTTTCTTGAAACAAAATACAAATGATAAAGTTTTAACCTTTGATGTTTCTCAGAAATACGTCATTGAGTGGTCTTGGCTCGAGTCTATACGGCCGTAGAACCGAAGTATATTCAATATACAGATGTTCAGTATATATTATTGTATTGTATATTGAAAAGTATTATATTGCAGGCGGCGTTAGGCAACAAACGCTGACCGGTTGGACAGGACAGGCTTCCTTTGCCGTGAGGATTTGACTTCAAACATATTTCAGAAGTGGTTTATTTTTTACATCAGCTGGATTCAAAAGGTGTTTCGGCCTGTCACTGTCACGCGGCGCCAGCAGGTGCCACATTTCCTGGTTGATACTTAGGGTATGGTATTAACTATAATAATTTAGGGTACGGAATAACTATAATAGTTTAGGGTACGGTATTAACTATAATAGTTTAGGGTACGGAATAACTATAATAGTTCAGGGTACGGAATAACTATAATAGTTCAGGGTACGGTATTAACTATATTAGTTTAGGGTACGGTATTAACTATAATAGTTTAGGGTAGGGAATAACTATAATAGTTCCGGGTACGGTATTAACTATAATAGTTTAGGGTACGGAATTAACTATAATAGTTTAGGGTACGGTATTAACTATAATAGTTTAGGGTACGGAATAACTATTATAGTTCAGGGTACGGAATAACTATAATAGTTCAGGGTACGGTATTAACTATATTAGTTTAGGGTACGGTATTAACTATAATAGTTTAGGGTAGGGAATAACTATATTAGTTTAGGGTACGGTATTAACTATAATAGTTTAGGGTAGGGAATAACTATAATAGTTTAGAGTACGGTATTAACTATAATAGTTTAGGGTAGGGAATAACTATAATAGTTTAGGGTACGGAATTAACTATAATAATTTAGGGTACGGTATTAACCATAATAGTTCTTGGTACGGTATTTCCTATAATAGTTTAGGGTGGTGTATTAACTATAATAGTTTAGGGTACGGCAAGCTTGATTCAGCCATATCGGGGGGTAAAACAGTTTTTCTTATTTCTTAAAAGTAAACTCTGCCAATTAAGAAAGCAACCCACGGTTCAGGTCGTGTCGGTCTGTTCCAAATTAAGTACAAAAGGTTTTCGTATACTCAAATCTTTCCTGTTCATAAACATGATATTTTGATAAAATCAAAGTATCATTACAGCATATGATATTGTAGATCAAAGTTTTCTAATCTTTTGATTTTCGAAAATCATGCTCAATCCATGCTCTCGGCACTTTGCACCAATCCTCCTGAGGGATGGAGAGCTTCTTCAAAAGCTGTGTATAGAACGTCAACAAGTTATATATCTTACACCCAAGTGCCCCGAGTCAAGCTATAGGTTTGCACCAAGTGCGCATCTTTAGAAAGCAGCATATATGAGCATCGATTGCTTCATAAAGCAGAAGGTTCCCACCGGTCGGTCTATAGCTATACCCAAGTCAGTAATGATCTTTTCATGTTTCTGTGACAGATTTCCACGCTGACAAATATTTGAACTCCAGTTCTGTTCATGGTCGTCGTGTTATAACCCTCCCTGAACTCAGGTGCGATGACAGTACGTGGCCGTGCCCAGGTTCACATACGTCACGGGATGATTAAAGGTTGGGTTAGCACAGTCAGATTCTGACACATCATTAACTATCAGTCAAGCCTGGACTTGGATACGCTGAGTGAACTTCAGTAGACACAACCTCACAGATACCTCAGCACCTTTAGTGACCTTCTGGTGACCTCCTCCGTGACCTTCTGGAGGACCTTCTTATGTATGATTCTAACAACACAGTACAACCTTACGCACACACGTACAGTCGCATACATCCTCCAACTTGTCCTCGTAATGTAAATTAAAGTATACAGTTTTTCATGAATATTTCAGTCACAACATTACGCGAACGAGGCCTTGTCGTCACTGCCTTTGGCGTACATGGTCCAAAGTGAAGCATAAAACTAATCGGTCGCAAATTTACACAATCATGAAAAACAAATAAGACGAAAAAATGCTGTCCTTGGCTCTGACGACATTTGTGAAAGGATTACTCACGACAACACAACCCATCAACCTGTGTAAACAACGAACATCTCTACAGTCTACAACTATAGACTTTCATTTGTAATCCAGAGATAAAATGCACTGCTGATAAACCGAAGGCTACAATTCAACCTTTATCATTTTCACAGCCCTGGACTGTACATGTCGTGCGTATTACATGCTAAGATAAGCACGTCAGTATCGATTGCCTTATATGTACAGAGTATCAATCCACTGTCTATTTGTGATTACTGCCAGTAGGTGGAGCACTTAGCTAATGAGAGTCAGGGTCACGCTTACTGTCTGTGTGTACATATCTTAGTGTCACGGCAATAGCTACACGGGGTGGTGGAACTTCGGCTTATAATTAACGTTTAATGTTCCCTTTCACTGAATCTCAAGACAAATGTCAGGTTCAATCCAATTGTATGGATTCACGACAACCGCACGCCATCTTTGTTTTTTCTGGAAGGTCAAGGTCAATGGTTTAGACGCAGTAAAACCCTTGTTTGTACAGAAAATCCTGTTTGATTTCACATCGAGTCACCCAGTCTCAAGGTTCTAGGACGCAGCTTCAGAACAATGGGTGTTATTGCAGGTTTGAATGTCAATGGTGTCACCGATACGTTTGCTTGCGATAGTCCAGCCCAGTAGTTTCAGCGTTTGCTCGCTGCAGTTCCAGGTTTGGATCCCAGCATGGCAACCATGTATTAAGCCTATTCTTGCTGATTCCCGTCGTCGGTGGAATATTTCTAGAAAGCATGTACACCCATACTTACTCGCTATAACGCTGGTTCTTAAATTGTTTTGAGGGCAAGTTGACAATCGTCTGTCTGCACGGTAACCCGGCACATGGGACTCTCAAAAGTAGCAAACGTTTAGTCTGAAATCTCATCACATAAGGAGTTTAATTGTCGACAGACGCATCTCACTCCTCATATTATCAGATTTATCAGAACAAAGTTAACGTCACAGAGCCTCCCATCCCAGCAGCTGTCAAATATGAACTGCAACCGAGTCCGAGCAAAACACAAGTCATACTTTCCAGTTCATTCCTTCACGTGGTGAAATCTTTTGTCTGCATTTTACATCACACGCTCTCCCTTACGTCCTGAAAAGTCGAGGTCAAGGTGAAGGTCAGGAATAATTAGCCCAAGAAATTCAACACGACAGTACCAACGTGACTGTACCAACGTGATTGTACCAACGTGACTGTACCAAGTGACTGTACCAACGTGACTGTACCAAGTGACTGTACCAACGTGACTGTACCAACGTGACAGTACCAACGTGACTGTACCAACGTGACAGTACCAACGTGACTGTACCAACGCGACATTACCAACGTGACTGTACCAACGGATACAATGCTAGATGCACTACTACATTCGGAATATAACAAAAGTCATGTCTTTATTGTAGGTTGACCACGACCAGCTTCAGCCGGACACGATGACGGTGAAGGAGTTCCTGTCAACCACCAACATCAAGGAGTGCATGTCCCCCTCCGGACTGGGAGGGTGCATCTCCAGATGCCGTCAGTCCCGTCGCCTCGTTCTCATCATAGTATTTATAGCGTTGTTCCTCGACAACATGCTCCTCACAACTGTCGGTAGGTGGCGCTTGTATATGAGCTTGTGGTGTCAAATGTACACCTGTCAAATGTCAGTGGATGAACATACACTTGAAGGTTGTTATATCGATATTCTGGAGATTATGTATTTGTTTGTCTTATCCCAAGTTCGGCACAGAGAAAGCAAACGTACCACCCTGCATTTATAAGTGATAACGTAGCCTCATTATTAATTTGAGAAATATTTTTTGAACAATGTTATTATAGTTGTATGATATATTCATTTAAATGCGTATATGCAGAATTGACGAATATTTATATTTCTACTGGTCATGTACATTAACTGACATCAACAGTCGCTAGGTGGCGCCGTGACGTGAAGCCGACGTTTAACTTGAGGTAATTGTTGGCAGTAGTGGCCAATAATGACCTTTATCAAATAACACCATTGGTCAAAGAACGCCACTTCAACTGTGTCCACACCTTGTTGTTTTCAGTTCCCGTTGTGCCGAACTTTCTGAGGAGGCTGGAGAAAAGTCAAAGAAAGAATACGACCACAATAAAATTGGTCAACCAGACAGTTCAAGTGTGCACGTTGGTCCCAGATGAAAGATATATTCCTACAACCGATGTTCAAAATAATTCCGAGGATTCTGTTGGTTATTCGTGGGATGGACTCTCGGACTTCCCCCGCCATTACGTCATGACGACGTCAGTGCCGTACATATGTGTATATAGCAATCAGACAAACCTTACCAGCGTCATCACGACGTCGGACAATAAACTCGACCATAAGGCGCTTGCCAATGAAAATGTGCAGGTTGGGCTTATGTTTGCTTCTAAAGCTATAATGCAGTTAATCACCAACCCGTTTATTGGACCTCTGACAAACAGGTGCGTATCAAGTGAAAGTATCGCGTAGAGAAGGCAATATATCATATGTATCGCAACATATCATGTACAGGGAGCAATGCATCCTGCAGAGAGGGCAATGATTAACTGGGAAATGTATGACATAGATATGACAATGTATCACATATAAACTTGTATCTTATCATCCAGAGAGGACAACTGATCTCACAAAGAGATCTATCTATCTATCCAACTATGTACAGCAGAGCATGACAGTGTTCATATAGTTTTGTGGCTACCCTGATAAATAAATTATCGGGCCAAACCGTGGATGCATCCAGGGTATAGTGGAGAGTGCTCGTAACGTACACCCTGGAGATTATCGAGGATGAGTATAGGTAGACTTTCATGTGTTCCTTTATTCGTTTCCGTGAATATAGGATATCAATACATGCATATGCTGCATCTTGTACATTCTGACCATGCTTTTTTCTTCCCTTAGGGTTGGTTACAGTATCCCAATGTTTGTGGGATTCTTTGTCATGACAGTATCAACTATTAGTAAGTATCCCAGTACACTTTGTCATGACAGTATCAACTATTAGTAAGTATCCCAGTACACTTTGTCATGACAGTATCAACTATTAGTAAGTATCCCAGTACACTTTGTCATGTCATAGTATCAACTATTAGTAAGTATCCCAGTACACTTTGTCATGACAGTATCAACTATTAGTAAGTATCCCAGTACACTTTGTCATGTTAGAGTCAACTATTAGTAAGTATCCCAGTACACTTTGTCATGACAGTATCAACTATTAGTAAGTATCCCAGTACACTTTGTCATGTTAGAGTCAACTATTAGTAAGTATCCCAGTACACTTTGTCATGACAGTATCAACTATTAGTAAGTATCCCAGTACACTTTGTCATGACAGTATCAACTATTAGTCATGTTATCAACTAGTACAGTAAGTATCCCAGTACACTTTGTCATGTTAGTTAGAGTCAACTATTAGTAAGTATCCCAGTACACTTTGTCATGACAGTATCAACTATTAGTAGTATCCCAGTACACTTTGTCAGAGTCAACTATTAGTAACTTCCCAGTACACTTTGTCATGACAGTATCAACTATTAGTAAGTATCCCAGTACACTTTGTCATGTTAGTAAGTCAACTATTAGTAAGTATCCCAGTACACTTTTGTCTATAGTAAGTAGAGTACACTTTGTCATGACAGTATCAACTATTAGTAAGTATCCCAGTACACTTTGTCATGTTAGTATCCCGGTACACTTTGTCAACTATTAGTAAGTATCCCAGTACACTTTGTCATGACAGTATCAACTATTAGTAAGTATCCCAGTACACTTTGTCATGTTAGAGTCAACTATTAGTAAGTATCCCAGTACACTTTGTCATGACAGTATCAACTATTAGTAAGTATCAGTACTCAACTATTAGTAAATTCCAGGTACACTTTGTCATCAGTCAACTATTAGTAAGTATCCCAGTACACTTTGTCATGACAGTATCAACTATTAGTAAGTATCCCAGTACACTTTGTCATGACAGTATCAACTATTAGTAAGTATCCCAGTACACTTTGTCATGACAGTATCAACTATTAGTAAGTATCCCAGTACAGTATCACTTTGTCATGTTAGAGTCAACTATTAGTCAAATTATCCCAGTACACTTTGTCATGACAGTATCAACTATTAGTAAGTATCCCAGTACACTTTGTCATTTGTCAACTATTAGTAAGTATCACACTGTTAGTAACACTTTATCATGACAGTATCAACTATTAGTAAGTATCCCAGTACACTTTGTCATGACAGTATCAACTATTAGTAAGTATCCCAGTACCTTTGTCATGTTAGAGTCAACTATTAGTAAGTATTCCAGTACACTTTGTCATGACAGTATCAACTATTAGTAAGTATCCCAGTACACTTTGTCATGACAGTATCAACTATTAGTAAGTATCCCAGTACACTTTGTCATGTTAGAGTCAACTATTAGTAAGTATCCTATTAGTAAGTATCCCCAGTACACTTTGTCAACAGACAGTATCAACTATTAGTAAGTATCCCATCTTAGAGTCAACTATTAGTAAGTATCCCAGTACACTTTGTCATGACAGTATCAACTATTAGTAAGTATCCCAGTACACTTTGTCATGACAGTATCAACTATTAGTAAGTATCCCAGTACACTTTGTCATGACAGTATCAACTATTAGTAAGTATCCCAGTACACTTTGTCATGACAGTATCAACTATTAGTAAGTATCCCAGTACACTTTGTCATGACAGTATCAACTATTAGTAAGTATCCCAGTACACTTTGTCATGACAGTATCAACTATTAGTAAGTATTGAAACACTCATTGTCATTTGATTGACACATGAATACAATGTGTGACGCCACTTTCTGAAGTGCTAGTCGCAGTATAGATGGAATATGACTAACGAGGGGGAACTCATTCACTCACTCAGAATGTAGCTCGTGATCATTTTCTTCACGCTCTTTCATTTCAGTTTTTGCCTTTGGACAGAGCTACACCGTGTTGTTTATAGCTCGGACTGTACAGGGGATAGGGTCCTCCTGCTCCAGCGTCGCCGGTGAGTATACCTCCCTCTGTCTGGAGCAGGGCACTAGCCACTAGCCTCATCAGTCAGTGATGAGGCTAGTGTGTAACCCAAGGCAACCATTGGCATCCTTGTAGTATGATTAAGTTAGGCAGGATGACATGGTTCAGTGCATACTATCGTAACTCGATGACGCGAATAGTTGTTCTTAATATCTAACACGTAATCTGGTTATCAGATTACTTACAGGACGTCATCACAGGGCCAACAAGAAGTGCAGTGTTAAAATGCAAACATGCAAATATCATACAGCGATATCCCTGGAATATTCAGTTCAAAGAAGTGCCCGATATTGCACATTCACTCAGTATATTTTGGAACATGATGAAAGCATTTTGTAAAATTAAATAAACTCGGCTTTGTTTTACTTGGCTCCCGTACGTTGTCCAGCGTCAGGATGTTCTTGGCTGTTTTACCTGCCTCGGGATGACCCAAGCAGTGTTATCACTGATTGGCAGAGGTTCATTTTGTCATTATATCACTATTTATAGTTTATGGTACCATTTTATGCCCCATGACACTTCCGCAGGAAATCGAGACTATTTTTTTCTCTGGGGTTATGTTCTGTATTTACATGGAATAGAACAGCTAACTATCAACTACAATCTTTCCATGAAACATCACACAAGAGGTCCCATCAGAACAATATAAGAAATACAGTCACGATGCCAATTCTGTTACAATACCGTTAACGGGTTGAAGAAATACACCTGTCATTATGGAAGCCAGAATACGCCATCTTCCAAGTACCGATAGTCAATCCCAGACCTGTCTAACTCTAGACCCAGGGACGATAGAGCTACCGATACAAATAGATCACTCGATCACGATAAAAAAGAGTGTGTCTTTATTTTGGGGAACGATGAAAGGGAATGAGAGTAATAGACGCCATAATTGAATGTCTTTAGAGGTGACCTTCGTCATGTCATTTCAATCGTCCATTCCTGCTCTTACACAGACGACTATAGCTGTTAATTTGTATGTTCACGAAGCTTACCGGTGCCTCCTTACAAAATGGCTTTTAACGCAAGCCTACTCCATACGCTCGGTTCGTACATAGTCGACGGGAAGATTTTAATCCCAGCGTAAATAAATCCTTTTAATCCAGATCTGTCACTCTGACCTTTCCTCAAAGAAGTAACCGGAAGTGGGGTGAGACCGAAGCGGGGTTCTTGAGTAGTCGCATAGAACATGGATCAATCAATATCGGTATTTATCTCCCTTTGGTAGGAATTGTCAGCGTCTTTTTCTGTAAGACTTGGTAGACGTGAGTTATTCAGGATTCACCGCCGAATACTTTATTGACCAATAAATGGATCCCGCTGTGTGTTGGTGTGGGACATATGTGACCGGAAATAGTTTATGACGATGTCTTGAACAAACAGTATCTTAAAACAGCATTGACATTTGCCGATGCGACAAGTACGCTGGATGGCCTAGCTATATGACACAGACAATGACAGAAATGTCTTAATTAAACAGCACACGTCTATTTCTTGACATTTATGTACATTACGTCACACACAATTATGAACTCACTTAGAGACTATAATTGATTTTCAATATTTGTTCATGTTGTCGCAGAAGCATGCAAAACTGTTTGAAGTTTTTGAATCCTTTAACATGAATCATTAGTTTCATAGGATTTCTACCTTAATTATTACTTTGTAACGAATCAGTACGTTACAACAATGCTTACCTTGATAAGGATTATTACGGTTAAAGATCTCGATGCCGACAATGGCAAATGAATTTTGTTTTGATGACGAAGATGAAATATGTACTAATATTTTCGATGAGGGTGATAAATATGTTGATGATGATACAAAAGATATTGCCGATACAACAGCAATGGCATCGTCGTGATGACAGTTATGCTGGAAGCTATGAAATCAACAATACTGAACAAAATTAACTGGATAGTAAAGTTTTAATGATGGCGACAGTTGCGACAGTGACGTTTACCCCGGTTCACCGTGCCTGTCATGACGATGATGTTGATGATGATGACGCTGATGACAGATCCAGATGATGACTCAAAAATCGATCACAACAAAGCTGCTGTAGGAGATACTGATCACTGTATGGGCATGAGGAAACAGTGATTGGGCCAACACATGGCGCGTTACCATCTGTCACCTGACAGGCCTGATACATGGGATCTGTGAGGGAAGCAGGGCCAGCTTAATTCTTTAACATTTTAGTTGTGCTCTCGGCGATCTTCACAATCGTTATATATTCAAATTCCATTTTATCCTTTTTGATGTGACAATGAACATTTAAGGTAATTTTCGTAAATGTTCATTTGTACCAGTAAATATATAATCGTTAAGAGGTCACTATTCAATGCGGCAAAGAAACGTAGGGAGGTTGTGAACAAATTAGCCAATAAATTAATATTGAAAGTTGACAGTCCAGAAATAACCTTCATGCCGGCGCCCCACGCTGCTTGTTTTGAAGACCACTTGGGGCGGCACCGAGGCCCTAGCGAGTGGTTGTTATAGCGCAGGCCAATAGAAGGGGCAATTCAGACCATTATTCCCTGTTCTCGCAGTTTCACGTCTACCGAGCAGGGTTTACAGCGATTTGGCGTTATCAATACATCCTTTGAATATATTCCATTATTTCTGAGGGCCGGTGTCACCAAACACAAACCCTTCACAGACAAGCATATGCAATTCTGAGGTTTGATTACTCCACAATTATTCTGTTTAGTCAAGCGCAACAGATTCAATCAAGAAATGCCGCTTGCTATTCAGAAAAGGGCAAGGAATCGATGGTCTGTCAGCCGGCCGTACGGCCTGGGTTACAATCAGATCAGGGAATCACGTTCTCCGTTACATAGGAGAAGGAAGCAGTGGGAACTTAGCGAGAGGGGGTGAGGGTTGAGGGGTTAAGGGGGTGAGGGTTGAGGGGGTGAAGGGACGAGGGTTTAGGGGCAAGGCTTAAGGGATGAGGGTGAGGTTTGAAGGGGCTAGGCGGTAAGGCTTGGGGGTGATGGGATAAAGGTTGAGGGGTGAGGGGATAAAGGTCAAAGGGTGAGGGTGGAGGGGATACAAGTTGAGGGGAGAGGGTGATGGGATTAGGCTTGAGGGGTGAGGGTGGAAAGAGTGTGGGGATAAGGCTTGATGTTTGAGTGGAGGTATAGTTAGAAGAATTCATATCAGGAAGAGATGATGGTGAGAGTTACAGCAAGTGACGGTAGATGGTGAGGCAACGAGTGTGTGTGTGGTGGTGGTGGTGGTGGTGGGGGTGTATGAGAAGTGGGAGCACACAAGGATAAATAACATGAGGTAACGAGATCAAGTAAGTGATGTAGACGAAACTAGATGGTTTGGTGTAATACACATGGACAATGACGTGGATATATCTTGTAGAAATACATTTCCGTCTTGAGAGCACGAGGGGTCAGTGAAGACCCCGAGTGTATTATTTTCAATAATTTCACGCTTCTCGATCGGACGCTCTGCAAGTTCAACTGATACGAGCAGCATATTCTACAACACGTCATTCTGATCCTTTGTTCCAAAGACGGTTGCACATGTATTCTGTGGGAGCCGTGTTTGGTAATTCGGGGTGTGGTATCACCTGTGAGAACAACAGGAAGGCCCATTGTTCATGAACTTCATGAACTGTGTATGTGAAACTTGAATTCATGGATGCCTCCTGATATACCTCGAACATTCTGACGATTTTCCCCGTTACTATATGCCAGCCTACTGCCAAAGTTATTTGAACTCCTACCGCCTTCCATCAAAAATAATAACATACGCACACTGGCTGTCAAGTCGTCGCGATCACTTCGCTACAAATCACAAGCGTATCAGAGTGCGGACGTCGCTCAACGAGAGCAGATCCAGTCAATCTTCTGTTAGAGGCTACAGTAGGTATTGGGTCTTTACGAACATAGTCACTGGGAATGACGTTAACCAGAGCCCAGGGTATTTTTGTACAAAACAACCTTAGCGCTACGGCAGTCGTAAGTCTATGTTGAGGTATGGGGGTAGTCTCTCGTACAGATCCTGAAGCAAACATATCCAAAAAAGCCCACACAAGTCTAGAAAATGTGGCAAGTCTAGATTTCCTCAGCTTCTGAAAATGAAGAAAGTCTCAGGGCTCCTTTTCATTATATATTATTTTTTTTTACTATGAACTTTTTTCAGTAAAATATGTTCATTTCAGAGACTAGTTGTTAGTCTAGTATGGGGGTAACGATCACATTAGCGCTAAGATCGCTTTGTACAATGACACCATAGTCGATGTCTACCGACACATTGACGTACATCATGGTTGCTGTGGGTAGTGTTGGGCGTTAAAGCAGTCGACACCTGGTGTCTTCGTGTTCAGCTCCAATTGCACAAAAGGTAGCAAATCATTAACACATGTAAAACACAACAAACCCATGATATAGCCCTCTTCATGCAGCACTTTCTTTAATGATGGTTATTCAGCTCTGTCATTTAAGTTTATTTATCATATGTTTATACTAGACGATGTAATGCTGACGATGAGACATGCCAGAGCGAACCGGGATTCGAACCAGGACCATTAGTGCCTGTCGAACGTGAGAGGTACAACTCAGATGCGACTCAGACTACGAGGCTAGCCAGTACCCAGGCTCCTTGTACTAGGATGTTACAGGATACTGTAACGTGTGTGAGATGCCCTGAACATGTGTGACGATGGTGCTGATGTTGTTTCAGGCATGGGGATGCTTGCTGACAGGTACCCGGATGACAAGGAGAGAGGGAACGCTATGGGTATAGCACTTGGAGGGTTGGCAATGGGGGTCCTTGGTAAGTCGTACCATCTGTTTGTTGCCATGGGAACCATGTCTACCAGCTCAACTACAGGACAAGCCTGGGAGCATCGTTTCTCTCTGTCCTTGTTTCAGCGTTGAAGTAAATTTAAACTGTTCACATTTACGGCGATCTGACGGCGACCGTTTAGCACAAACATTTCGTCTCCCTCGCAACAAAGGACAAGTTTAAGTAATTATGTTTCGTAATGATCATGAAACGTTTAGATACATTTTGTTTTGATATACTAGTATTTGTTCCTTTTATAAATATTTTGTTCTTCCTGAAGCCGGTGTCAGGTGTCTCAGTACATGTGTATTGTGTTACAGTTGGGCCGCCGTTTGGTGGAGTGATGTACGAGTTCACGGGGAAGGCAGTTCCCTTCCTCATCCTGGCTGCCCTAGCTCTCCTTGACGGGTGTACGTACTCTTCTTCTTCTTCTGCCCCCTGTCATCATTATAAACACCTCCAGTACAGGGTTATACAGTCTCTCATGAAGTGATTGGTCTTGTTCAAACATTGATGAAGGGTCATGAGTACGTGGTGCCTGATTCTGAGAGTGTGGGTTCGAAGCCCGATGGATGTCAACCTACTGAAAGTACTAGAATCTGTACTTTACTGAGAAAGTGTAATCCCAAATATATGTTACAAATAACATTGGTTCTTGATTAATGTTTTTTTTTATTCAATTGCTTGAACGAAACAATTATTCCAAATAAATAGATATATTAATATTTTCCTTAAAGCTAAGGAAACTGATTAAGTTGATACTAGTCTCATCTATTTAGTTTGGGTTTCTTGGTTGTTTTTTTAAAGACAGCAACATTGTGCCGGAAAATATTGCGAACCATGCTATGGATATTAATTTTGCCCTATGGAAATGATGGGCATTCCTAGTTCAGTTCAGCTGAAAATGATATCTTGAGTGTTGTCAGTGTTTCGTTGAGTGTAGTGTTAACCTGTCATCCTTACAGGCCTCCAGCTGCTGGTGCTGCAGCCTTGCGTCAAGCCGGAGTCCCAGGAGGGGTCGTCTCTCAAGAACCTCCTCAAGGATCCCTACATCCTTCTGGCTGCAGGTGAGAACTCCCCACCAACATATCCTGGTCGTAGGATGCCGGGACGGCGTGGGTAGATTCTAATAATATGAATCACTGGAGTGTCTTGTCCTGACTCGATTGTATATTGGTCGCAGTCACAGAGCTAGAATATTACCTGTCAATCACCTGTTCATAAAGATCATGACTTAAAAGGGCGGTGTGTATCCTGCAGCAATGATGACGTACAGTAGATACCTTTGTTGACGTGACTGTGGGCTGACGTCAGTTGTGACACTGTCAGTGAACATCAACACGTAAACAAATCTGTATGGTTGGTTAATCTGGTTTCCTAGTCTTTAAGATTCCACTGCCTTGGGGCCGATAGGAAGTAAATCTGAGTATGGGCGGCATTGTTCATGGTAGTTGGAACATACATTGAATAACGACAACATCTGTGGAAACCACCAACCCGATGGTTATCAAAGATATAGATGTATTCAATGCTAACTTATGGTACGTGCGTGGCGTGGCGTGGCGAGTGCGCGTGTACACTTAATATGACAATTGGAATGACGCTTGATATTATATACAATGTATATGAGTAGAAGCAGAATGGAAATAGGTTTATTTTTTAATTATGAAAGGCGTTAATATACATTCTTAAAAGCATCCATATGACGAGAAACATGACTAACGACATGTTGCTATTTATTGTCGATTGAATATCAACCAATTACTGATGAAGTCATGGTTTTATCACAGGATCCATTACGTTCGCCAACATGGGCATCGCCATGATGGAACCCTCCCTGCCCATCTGGATGTACGAGACCATGGGTGCCAAGGAATGGCAACAAGGTAGGCTCACCACATCCAAGTTGTGCTGTAGTTGACCTCCAGAATGTTACATTCAAAGGATAAAAGAGTTTTGCTGGTGTCCGTCAACCAAAACTAAGAGTCTTAGAGGTTCCCGACAAGCATCCCTGCTATGATGTTGGTCAGTCAGTTGATCTCCATGAAGTTAATAACATCGTGAATTCTTGGGTTATGGTATTTTTCAGTTCTTTAGAAACTGATTTTATTACGATTTTGAATGAGAAAGTATCCATTCGTTACCATCCATAAAATACCTTTGGGCATATATACATTTCATTCCAGTTTTCAGAATAATTCTCAACTGATCTTCTGTTACAGGCGTGGCCTTCCTACCAGCAAGCTTGTCCTATCTCATTGGTACCAATATATTTGGTCCGCTGGCCCACAAGATGGGGAGGTAGGCATAATGAGTTACAGGTTTCGTATGGATTTGTTCCTCTAAGAACTCAGTTGGTCATGGGGTTTCGGCAACCAATGCGGACCGTTTTGTCCAGGCCGCCGCCATATATATGGGATGTTGTTGTGTACGGCGTTAAACAAAGGAAAACAAACAACACATACAATAAATGAATTGAGCTGGTTGAGGAAATCAGAATATCATGGCATGGGTTGTTTTAAATGGAATACATAAGTGGCTTTTCGGTTGTCCAATACTAACCCATGAATCTTTATTAAAACATCTGAAAATTCAAAATTATTTTACAGTATTAAATGTAGTGCAGTCATTTAATTACATGGTGCAACTTGGAATATGGAACAAAATGTGGTTTTATGTAAAGTGCGAATTATATTTCAAAACAATAGTTTTTGTAGTGTTTCTTAACTCATTGTTTTACATAAGTTGTGTGTGAGTGACGGGTATTTTCTGTAGGACAGGCCTCAGTACTGCGGTCATATATATACACAAAGAACTTAATTAAGCACCCCTTTTGCAATGATAGATTTTCAACACGTACATAATTCTTCTCGTGGTGACCACGATGGAAAAGCGTGAGTTTTCTAACCCGTATGATCCTTTGACTCATACAAAACGACAAAATGATTGGTATCAATGTGGGTTTTTATGATAATAATTGCTCATTTAAAAAAAACCCCACTGATTTTCATACAAAACCATGTCTGGATGGCCCTGGAATGTTTAATGTTGAATTTATTGGTGAATGCGAACATTCCAGTCTAAGTAAACTTAGGCTCAGTATTATTCGTTACCCTGCTATACTGAGTCTAACAAAACCTTGTGGAAGGTCGCGTCAGGTAACCTTTTCAATTGACCAATCAGAACACAGCTTACCAAATCGCGATAGTTGTCATTCGCACATACCTTTTGAACTTTTACCTCGAAAAAGTTTTTCACCCGAACGATTCCTAATGCTATTTTCCGTACGATCGCTTCCTAATGATAACCATGTCAGCAGCAGAATCCCGAGTGATGCACATGGAACACTCCACAACAGTGAGTAAACAGTCGCTGAAAATAGTGTTTTGTCAGTATTCAAGGATGTCAGCTTGCGGAAATATTAGCTAATGATAACCTCCATATACCATATACCCTGTCAGCCTCTTGATCCATGATGGGGCAGTCTGGGCCATTCCTCGTGTAAAGCAGCTTCCACTTGGGCCAGGTTCTGTACAGCAGGATCCCTTTGTTACACACGACAACCAATCATGTCCCAGATATGCTTCAAAGGGTTAAGATCGGGGCTCATTCAATCATGGTGCTTAACTAATTTGTATGTGTATATATTGCACTATTATTGTGCCTTTTTGACCCAAAATGATCTGTTTCCCAGATGTTTCCGATGATGTTTAATATCCATGTCATTTACAGTGGGATAAATGATGTTGAATTACTTGAATGAAACCTGGCTACAATGCCATTTGATTCAAATGGAGGTCCCCTTTAAGGAACCACTCACTCACTCTCCAACTCACTCTTGTTCCAGGTGGCTGAGCGCAATGATCGGAATGTTCGTTATTGGAGTATGTCTTTTCTTCGTAAGTATCCACCGTCACGACAACATGTCAGCCCAGCAATTATGACCACTAGAACTAGGGGCTTCCAGTAATGGTCCTACTGACATTAATGTAGCCTTTGTCGGCAATACCGGACTGATGGGGACAGAAAGAGTCCGTTAACAGACAGCAAGACAACACGAAACAGCACTAATTGAAAATACAAAAAACAACAAAATAATAAACAAAAACAAGCCCTTAAACCATCAAACACGCTTGATAAAATGAATTATGTGGAAGTATCGTATACCATACTGTAAAGCAAGTTAGACAATTTTCCAAAATGATTATGGTATATAAATCGAGCCGGATTGGCCTGGAGTGGAAGCGACAGGGTGGACGTGTGATGTGAAAGTGCTTTAGCTAATCAACTGCGTCTAGTTGGGTTATTCATCACAGGATTTGGTCTTTACGAGACGTGCACATTTCAACAGCTAAAACCGAATGTAAATCCTTTAACGCTCTGTACATCTGGTCTCATTATAGACACCGACATGCCTCCATCCATCACTTAATATTGTGCTATTTATTTTAGATCCCGTTCTCCAAAAAACATCGGGCACCTTATAGCGCCGAATTTCGGACTAGGTTTTGCAATTGGTAAGTATCAATTCCTTGCGTAAGAGCTTTACCTGGTAGCCGGAAATGGATCGTTAACAAACCGGAAAGGAACTCTTCTGCGTATGAGATTGATAGATCGGGTGCTTTTACTTCAACAAGACACACGCCCTCCGTTAAGGAGCCGGATTATGTTTGGAGCCACAAATGATGATGGACGGCTAGTGACAAGGGTGGATGTGGCTTCGGGGGAAGGGTGACCTTGAGTTTCTGATAATAAGGTTGAATATTGAAGCGTGGTGTCGATACGGTCGATAGAACCAGGGGAGACAGTACGTGATGTAAACACCGGTTGTTTACTGTTTACACTGTTCTGTAAATAACCAGTACCGCGCATGGAGCTGTTCTTTCGTTAAGTACTATTTACCAGCAACAATTTTTGTTCACAACTACAACTAGATGCTGTTGCTTATGCAAATATCACCACACTAACAGTCGGGCTGTTGTTTGTTTATTTCCTTACATTCCTTGATTAAGGCTACAAGAGTAGGGGTAGCCTAATGGTTAATGTGTTCGCTCGTCACCCTGAAGACCCGGGTTCGATTCCACACATAGATACACTGTGTGAAGCCCATTTCTGGTGTCCCCGCCGCGATACTGCTGGAATATTGCTAAAAGCGGCAGCCAACCTCACTCGATTGTGTAATGATGTTCCACTGCTCGCAGGTATGGTGGACTCGTCGATGATGCCGCACATGGGATACCTCGTGGACCTCCGTCACGTCTCCGTCTACGGCAGTGTCTACGCCATCGCTGACGTCGCCTTCTGTCTTGGATTTGCAATAGGTATGCTTCGTTTCTTAATAGACTGTATATTCAAAAACGTTATCCAACTTAACGCTGTGGATAAATTCAGTGCTTACATAGCTCAGAAACACTCAGGTTTCAGTTTTTCATTGTGATGATCTATATTTCAGGTCCAGCCATAAGCGGTTCCATTGTGCAGACAATTGGTTTCTCGTGGTATGTATTTCTTGGTTGCAGCCGATATACTATAACTACGACGTCATAAGATTGAATCCCCTTTCTACCTAAGACACTATCTCGTCTACCACAAGCTACTCGATGTTCTTGCAATCTATGCCCTTGACATGTATGACTTGTTCATAGTCGCAAATTGCTAAATTGGAGCAACTTCGATCTAATGTTTAGATCAGTTGATATTTCACCATACACAAAATGCTTCAATAGTTATCCAACAATAATCCTTTCATTACTTCAACCAATAATGCTTTCAATTTTTACCAGGCAACAATGTTTGTAGTTTCACCAACCAATATTTCATGATTGTACATCAGGCAATGAAAAGTGTACCATCCGATGACAATCATGCTTTCAAACAATAATGCGTGTAACTTTCATCACGCACTAACGTTTTGTCTTTTATCCAACTAATTCTTTCTCTCCACTGAACACTCGTCTATCTGCGATAGTCACATATTTGCATCTTCAACATGAAGCGTGTTGATATAAACAATCTGACTGACAAACCTGTTAGCAAAAGCAAATAATCACTTATGTTTAAACGAAATAAACAAGAGTATTGTTTTGTGGTGATGATCATGTATGTGCTACCTGTAAGCATTACCGCGACATATTTCAGCCTTTTAATGGTTGCAATTTGAAGTCCAATGTTGCTTACAAGTTTATACGTTCTGTCGCCCGGGATCAAGTCCACAAGCCATGGTTTACAAACGTCATTGTCATATAACAAAAAAGAAATTCAATTATCACGTTCAGTTTTATGTTTAAAAAAATACACACTTATGCCCCCACAATTTATACCCTTGAAACATCCACACTTTCATACAAATCTGCCTGTCATATGAGAAAATCTAATTGTTGTTCATGTTGATGTCGCCAGGTTACTGTGGATCATCGCCATCGTCAACATCTTGTACGCCCCCCTCATGTACTTCCTGCGCAACCCCCAGGGCCGGGAGGAGAAGATGGTGAGGGAGCAGCTCACGGTCACGTGACATGAAAGGCTACACAGCTAGAAATATCACTCTATCAATTGCAATTACGTTCAGTGTCCAACTGTCGATATGTTGTCGATACTTCCTGAAAAACCGAGTCTTTGATAGATATCGAGTTGTACTTTTTTCTAAAGGCAACACGAAGTTTTCTTGAAGTGATGAGAGTAGCAGTTTCCTGTTTACATGGAGGGTAAACTTAGTGAAATTGACGACCATACTGAGCTGAAACTGATTTTCACATTTGTCAAGGTGTATTTGATTCATGGCAAGTAGCCATTGGGCGAGGTGTAGCGCGTCGTGTATGAAGGCGTGAAACAAAATTCTTAAGATTTGGGATGAAAAGAAAAAATAATTTTTTTTTTGGGATGAAAAGAAAAAATAACTATAGTCCAACCACAGTTTTTTGTCAGAATGATTGATCAATATATGGAGACATGCATATATCGATTATTGAAGATATAATTCGTTTTCTGCACTATTCGGATAAAATGAGTGTCAGTACTACTACATAGGGAGTGACTTTAACAAGGATCGGCGGGGTGCTGGACATTGTGGGGTGTTCATGTGGATGTATGCGTCATCATTCCTTGCAGTCGTAGGTCGGTGCTCATGCTGTCGATCGCTGAAGTGTCGGGCCCAGGCTGTAATTGTTACATGCTTTTGTAAAGTAGTTGCAATATAATATGACTACGTCATGAAATAGTATTCACTCGTATTGCAATATTTGCTGGAAGGACTAATATCAGAACTTGTAATGCTGGCTATATATACACAACGTCGCTAAAGAAAGCTCACCAAGGTCTGAAGGGTGTTAAACATGAACAGTTGCCACATGCGTCATAGAATCTGAGTATATATACTGATAATATCATTAACAGGTCAACAGGTCTCAGGAGGAATATGACACCTTCATCTGAAAATAGCCAACATTTATTGAAGAAAAGTACACTTCTGAAGGTGGCGGAAAATGGCTACCAAAAATTCACGCCTGTATGGTTCAGCCCATGCTCGTGCAATACATGACAAATAACAGTCAGTATTGTATTGAGTTATTGGGCCTATTAATCGAGATACAACAGAACTGAATGCTTGGAACTTTGAAATGTGACGTCATACCTCTCATCTGTTTGCCCCTCCATAATGACCCTGAGCATATAACCACCAGCTACAGTCTTATATATACTCATGCCAATAATGGTTGTCACCACCCCTCTCCCCCTTCACTACACCCCCATCTCCAATTAAAAAATTGAAGGGGGTGACAACCATTATTGGCATGAGTATATGATAAGGATGGTGGTTGTTATTCAAGTAGTGGAATACCAAATGTGTTGAAAATTTAATGAGCTCACTTAGAATATTTTGATGTTTGCCAGTGGTCAGTGATACCGTCCGTCATTGTCCCTTCACTAAAGCCATCTACTGACCACTCTTCTGTTATTGGATGACACTGCCATCTCAGATCCGACACCGTACTTCTCTATGTTAAACATTTCCCTTTCTGTTTCCAGTCGTTGATCATGAATGACCAATGTCCAGTGCAGTACGTGACATACAACCAGACCACACGAAGCAACGCCAACTCGGACGAAGAAGATGGGTACTTTGAAGATTAACCGAGGGGACACATTCGGAATAGATCAGATTTTTCCGGGAACAAAAGGAAGTCTTGGACTTCCAACTGATTACTAGTGTTGAAACACTGACGTTAGTTGGTGACTTTAATAAGGATACACGGAGCTGGGTGGGATTGTATCGGTTGGGTTGAAGAGAATATAAAATATTTATGACTAGTTTGCGGAAGTTGGATGGTTGTTTGTGGATAGAATTCATTGCGTGGGCGACAGATGTTGTCACTGAAAAACGTTGAAAATACTCGAGGAAACGATTTCGAGATCTTTTGTTAAAAATATCTTTCCAGAACAGGCATTATGTTTATTGCAAATTATGGAAGATGGTGAATTGTCATCGAGTGGACTTGCATGAATTTGAATGTAATTATTGTTGATTAACCAAATGTATTGGAACGAGGACATTGATCAGGGCAACTGGCGTTGACTGGGTTGACTTTAGAACAGGATTGTTCGTTAATCCGTCGTCATCTTGGTGTCCTCATGTACATTGCGGTGTAGACTAAACAAATAGCAACATGTTTCTAGGTGTTTGTGAATACCTGTAGATGCTTAGACTAGAGCAAACCCGCAGTTAGCCACGTTACCATGGAAACCCGCATATATGTTTATAAACCCGTATGTATTTATATGATGTATTACGTGTACATAGATTTGTGAAAATGATATCTACGTTTATGTGATGAAAATAACTTAGATTACGTAATTATATTTATATTTCTGTAGAAGTTCAAGTTTCTGTATCTTATACCACGTGTCCGTTAACATAGGGACTGTATTTTACACTACTCCACAAAAATAGGTTAACTGCGATTATCTTCCCAACATAACTGCAACTGCTGCTACTTTGTCGTATGGGAGTGGAACAACTCAGTTTATCAAGGAACCTGTTTCAAGAATGTTAATATTACAGATAATATAAATATAAATTAAAGTTTATAATCAAAAGCCTTATATCTCTTCTACCATCATCAGTATTGGTGCCACGTCACTAAGATATAATGATTGTAATGATTCGATTGAGTTCTGATAACGGTCTTTTTTAGATTAAGTTTGATATTATTAATTTTAAGTGGACTATCCAGAATAAATACAGTTAATCTCTGGTGACAGCTGTAGACTGTCAATGCCCTAGTTCTTGTAAATAACACTGGATATTTAAGACGGATATGTGCAGGCTCGATCATGGCCGAAGCGCGTCAGTAGACGGCCCATAACGAGTGTTGATAATTGCCGTGGTAAGGTAGGACAAGTATAGTATGTTATCTGTTGTATTAAAAATGGATGACGAGCTTGTGATATAGTCTTGTTCGGGGCCCAGTGTATTTGTTGACATGTAGAAATGTATAGTATATATGGTACATGTGCAAACAATAACATGACAAATCTATGTATCCTTATTCAGGGCGGGGTAGGAACGTCAGAAGGTATTATATTAATTAGAAGATTATGTATTGCCTGGTACAAAAATCTCTGATTACACGACAGTCCTTGTTGATAACAATACAGCGCCCTAAACAAGGATATGCATCGTAATAATCTAGTTAGCCGGTGTATGTATACCAGGTATTCTGTGTGTTTGTCAGCCTGTCACTATATGTAACACATGTTCAGGGCTGAGGAACAGCTATGCAGAAATCCTCGTGAGGATAATATATCGTTGAAATTATACCAGATAAAGTAATTTTAGCCGAATGACTGCCCTATTCACGTTCAGGGCCAAAGGCACCACAGTAAGACCTTTAGAGAAGATATGTAAAATCTCGAGATGTCTGATACAGCTTGTACAGCAGTCTCGCTTATATCCATGTTCGTGGCCGAATAGAGGAACAACAAGGCCCGTAATGAGGAACTTTAAGAATAGCGACTGTACAGTGTATTATATACCAACAGGCGACATCCCAGTGTGCTATAGCAATAACGTTGTTTATGAAACCCTGTGCTTACAAGCGTTCCATGTGATATTCCGTGTAGATTACACCTGTACAGTGTACCTGTACAGTGTACCCATCTGAAGTGTTGTGTGTACAGAGAGAGTGTGTAGAGGCTGAGCTGATGCAGCTGCCCAGACGTTCCAATAAAAGCAAATCTCTACATCTGACATCTCGTTGTTGTACATCTCATCGGTTGTCTGCAGAATATCCACGATTCAATGACAACATGGAAACTGTTTGTCAACATCATTGTTATCATTAGTAAGTGTATGTGAGAGAGGACATATTATTTTATGCCGCACCAACAGTGACGTCCAACACGGCAACACACGTGTATCGGTATAATGGGCGATCAGAACAGTTTGGTTTTGTTCGGTATAATACTCCGGTTATAATAGTTCAGTGAAAACTGACTGTCCACATTTTAACGGAAGAGTCATTTTTCGAAGCATGGGAAACCACTCGCCCCATTCCGTAGAACCGCTTGTAGCGGAATAACAAGAGTTGGTAACGAATGCTTCAAAACAAATTTGATGTTGGTTTCCAATCTTCATCCTCTTTGGCATCCTGAAACCACCTGATTCAAACTGGATGATTATGGTGTCACAACTGCCTCCGTCAACCTGCAGTGTCGCAATGGATTTTGACGGCAGTGGCCAAGTGTCTCTTCAGGTTTGAATGCCAGCCCTCGAGATGGTTTGTTTGGGTTGTTTGCCATGCACTTGTCAACAGTGAATCGTTATTCATCAGCCTAAAGTTTATGATCGTGCTACATGACAAAGCCATCTCTGGCGGTGATGGCGGCGGTTGGCGTCTTCTTTGGGAACGTTTCCAGTAACTAGAAGCTTGGCGTCTGGTTGTGATCATGAATGGTATGAAAACCAAGTGGCAACCTCACCCCACTTTCAACCAGCGTTCGAAATTAACGTTGATCCTCAGGCCCGAAGCCGACTGAAAACCACTCGGACCACAACTTTTTGTTTTCTGCAGGTCCTATGGCCGACAGCTTTTTCATCCCCAATAACTAAGAGTATTATTTCCACATTAAAATATAGGGCCTACACATTCTGATCAGGACCCACAACTTTTTATGGTTCTTAGTGAGTGAGTGAGTTTAGTTTTACGCCGCACTCAACAATATTCCAGCTATATGGCGGCGGTCTGTAAATAATCGAGTCTGGGCCAGACAATCCAGTGATCAACAGCATGAGCATCGATCTGCGCAATTGGAAACCGATGACATGTGTCACCCAAGTCAGCGAGCCTGACCACCTGATCCCGTTAGTCGTTTCTTACGACAAGCATAGTCGCCTTTTGTGGCAAGCATGGGTTGCTGAAGACCTATTCTACCCCGGATCTTCACGGGTCTTTTATGGTTCTGGGTCCTTAGAACCTGCAGCTTTTCAGGGTTAGGGGCAAACACTGCTCCCAACGTAGAATTGGGGATAGCACCTGTGCGTTTGCCGTAGTGGGATACTGTTTCCTGTCTGTAATTCCTTTTTTAATCCAATCCATGCTTATGAGTAAGATACACATGGGTTTCACTCAGGGCAGGTTATTTGAACATTGTCCACCAAGTAGTAGTGACATGTGAGTTGCCGCCTCCGGTATCACCTTGTCTAATCACTTACCCATTCATCACCACTTTCGGGTGACGTCATACATAGTGGCAACATATGCCCTGGCTTCGTAGGGAGTAGAATAATCACACACCTGTTCCTCCCTACACATACACATATACGCACACGCACACACACACACGCACGCACGCACGCACGCACGCACGCGCGCGCGCGCACTGACGTACATGCACACGTATAAATGTTGAACATAGGACACTGTCAGTATCACTGTCCTATTCGCCGGTATACCGGTATACTGCAATGCGCTTTTCCAGTGATACGTATTGTAATATTTTTTTATGAGAACGGGTATATTGGGTAAAGACTGACTGACTGAGTTTGGTTTTACGCCGCTTTTAGCAATATTCCAGCAACATCACGGCGGGGGACACCAGAAATGGGCTTCACGCATTGTGCCCATGTGGGGATTCGAACCCGGGTCTTCGGAGTGACGAGCCAACGCTTTAACCATTAGGCTACCCCACCGCCCCTATTGGGTAAAGAACACATATGAAGTTTTTGTCATTATCTTTATGGTTTATGTTAAAATCAACACAGACTTTCATTCACAACAGATGTTTCCTTCGTTATTCAAGGACGATACAGCATACTGGAAACCTATAAATTGATAAAAAAGAACAAAGAATCGATGACTATATGTAACCTAAGATTGAGATTGCTGTTATCAAAGCCACACCATATATTTTTAAGGGCCTATAATGAGGAAAATTGGCATGTAGATCTACAATTAGTGTCACTCACTGTCAAACACTTAATTATAAGTTCCCCATATATTGCAATACGTATCGCAATACGGGTACCTGAATCGCAATATATTGCGATACAATTTATTTGCTTATGCACAGCCCAGCTATTTGTGAGACCATGAAATTCACAAAGTTGAGTTTTCATTTCTAAGTGGTCAAAGGGAGATAACTACAATTACACAGACAAGAACGTTAGTCGTCTTTCGAAGGCACAGATTCCGATCTATACTATACTGATGATTGATAGTCTCCAGATCACGGATGGGGTAGGCTACAGGAACCACACCAACATGGACGCCAACAAATACTACTCCTCCCCCGCCTCCTCCTCCTGCTACTACCCGTGAAGGTCCGGGTTAGAATATTGATCTTCAGTAACCCATGCTTGTCGTAAGAGGCGACTAACGGGATCGGGTGGTCAGGATCGCTGACTTGGTTGACACATGTCATCGGTTCCCAATTGCGCAGATCGATGCTGATGCTGTTGATCACTGGATTGTCTGGTCCAGACTCGATTATTTACAGCCCACTCCAACGGGTATCACCACCACTACTACTGCTGCTACTACTACCACCACTACTACTACTACTGCTGCTACTACTACCACCACTACTACTGCTGCTACTACTACCACCACTAATGCTGCTGCCACTAAACCTATTAACCACCTCTACCACATCATCATCAACTCTCAAATAGTTCAAGATGGTGCCAAGTCTAAGAAGAAGACAAATTGGAGTCACAATCTGTAGATGTAATATGGTGTGGCCGTGTTTCAGGAGATACTGCAGCTATGACCACGTCTTCCATGTCCCCCTGACCCCCTCACACACTGCCCCGTGTACGCCCCCAGATGGAACATTATTCATATGGACAACTTCAAACCAATCCATTTTATTCAGGCCGTTCTTTGTACACGACAAGAAGACTGAGCGATGCGTTGTGTGCTGACAGATTTCACTGGGCGTTAATTGATGGGTGACAATGTGCTTCTTCTCCTTGGCTATATAAATGCTCGGTGGATGTGATTCTACAGAAGTCTTTAGATTCTTCAGCGAATATTGTCCAAGGTAAGTGTACAGTTTTAAGAACCTAAGAACTCTGATCCAGTTTTGGGTGACGGTATGTGTTTACATTGACCAAAGTCCACTTTCTTCTTTTGACCTAAAATTCACAAATTGTTAAACTGTCATTTCACTGTTTGAATATGCAACTCTGCATAATGTCAGTGGTACGCTCTTCCTTTAAGCGTCACGTCTAGTCTGCACGTAGTCTTTGAGAAGTTGTTCCAATCCAACTACAATGATGAGTTATACTAAACTAATATTGCTTGTTTCTTTTCTACAAGGATATAAACATGGCAACTAAATCCTTCCTTGCCGTCGTAATCGTCTCCTGTCTCACAATGCCGACAACGTCTCATTTCCACTTCTTGCCGAGACCTTTTCCTATGGGAATGCCTATGCCGTTCCTGATGCCTCCACGTATACCGATGCCCATCCATATACCCATGCCAATCCATATACCAGTGCCTTTTCCTATGCCAGTGCATATTCCCACACCCATGGTGTCTCCTCCTCTCGTTGGCCGTTCCGTATTTTCCGATGTTAGTGTGGTTGGGGCACCTGTCACGGTCCCAGTCGGTACGAATGTCATTGACGGAAACGTTAACGTCGTTGGAGGAGGCGTTGGTTTGAGTGGTGGAGCGGTGACCGTCCCAGCAACTGCCAGTTATATTGACGGAAACGTCAACGTCGTCGGTGGAGCGGGTTATACCCTCCCATCCGGGTTGTCTGTTGACGGTGACGTCAACATCGTCAGTGGAACACGGGCAGGAGCAAACATGATTGGTGGGGCGACTCTTCCCGCCAACCGCGGAGTATACTATGGTGATTAGGTCGACGTATCCAGCCTTGACGTATTCCACAACTGTAAGTGTTATGGGTGGTGTATAAACCTGTTGCTAAGAATGATTGTCTCAACGTGTACGATTCTTACGTCGCACATACATTTTTGTGTCATTGCAAGGTGTTATTCATCATGATATAAATGGGAAATTGCCGAATGCGCATTCTGATAAAACGGTGTAGTAGTAGTGAATTACATTTTGACAAAACCCGTGGCTGATACCGTGAACATCGATGTATGTCGTCGGGATCGTCATTCACAGATTTATCTGACTGGTACCCATATCTGACTGGTACCCACAAAGCTACTATCGTGCATGACTCATAGTTGTTTAACAACATGAACGGTGCCAAGGAAATCAAGTTCCCTTTGGATGTATATCTGTTGTTAAGCGATCGTTCTGTGTTCACCTATGTAGCTTTATCATCGCTAGTTGTTTGTGGTTGATAACGGTAAAAGTAACAAGTATATATATTTACAATCCTCCCTACAATAACACTGACAACCTTCACTTACAATGTCAATGTCATTGCTGAAAATGTTTCGTGTTTCTGTTTCAGAAGTGGCGGGTCAGCTTGACCAGAATCCTTGTCCTGCCAGTTCAAACACCACACTTAGCCTGGAATATCTTGAACCGTTTTGATTATTCATAATGATTGTTTGTTTGTCTCTTTGTAAAACATCCAGTGACTGCATCAACCAAGTCGGCACGCCTGACAACCTGTGAAGCCTTTCAGGACAGGGATTGGGAGCTGAAGACCCATTGTAACCCGGATCTTCCCAGGGCTGTTATTCATAGTGATGGCATTGGACCAGAAAATCCGAAAAACAAATTTGTATGACACACTGCTACATTCATCTGAGACACA